AAGGCCGCCCACCCGGCCGCCTCGGGTGGTCTTGTTTTGGTTAGCAAAAGAGTGAAGACTAGAGAGACCTCGAGGGCAATGGGAGAACAGCCACAGGGAAGGTGTGGAAAGCCGCCCGGAGGAACAGAGTAGGCACGATGGACCTGATGGGAAACAGGAATGGGTTTGCAAGAAGGGCACTCTTTATTCAGAGGCCCTGGGGATTGCCCCAGACCCTGTCCTGTGCCGGACACCCGGAGCGGCTCACCACTCCTCCCCGGTCAGCTTGTTCTGGAGGCCAAAGACGATGTGATTATGGGCTCAGCTGGAGGACCCTGCTGCAGGTCCACCCCTGAGCCTCGAGGGAAAGAGGTGCCAGCCCCTTCGGCGCCAAGTCCTCCACTCACACCTTCCCCCCACCCCCACCCAACCACCACCAACCCAGAAACAGCCAGCCGTGCTGGGCAGCAGCCCTGGAACTGAGGCGCCGACCCTTTTCAGAAGATGGGTTGTTTGGCCCATCCCTTCCTGCGATGTGTCTCTGTTCCCGGCGTTGGGGAGTCTGCAGCACGGGTTCAGGCACCAGAGGCTCCCCGGGTTTCCTGCCCCTACCCCGCAATAACCGCAAGCGCAGCACCACCACCACCACCCCCACCCCGCCTCCGCCCCCGCCGGCACCCTCAGCACCACCACCACCCACCGAGACTATGCCCGGCCCCACCCTAAGCGCCCAGTGCCGCCACAGATGGTGCAAGCCTGGAGGCGGGGCGTCGTTTCCCGCCCAGGGCTCAGAGGTGTCTGGGGACAGAGCGCAACCACGGTCCGTGGCCCCAGGCTCCGGGTCTGAGACCTGCTCTCAGAATGACCTGGAGGGCAACCATCTCTCTCTTTCCCTGGAGCCCTGAGGCCTCGGGACCTCCCTGCGGTCTTCTCCACCCCAGGCAGACTGGCTTCGGTCCATATCCTCCATTCTGGCCAATCCCAAGGGATGACCTTTCCCAAGGCACAGCCACCCCAAAGGACGTGTTCTGCTTGAACGTGCCAGCTCTGGGAATGAGTCTGGGTTCTCCCGGTCTACTGAACCATCTGGGCGTCTGTCCGAGGTGTTGGAAGGGGTCGGGGAGTGCAGATGGGCAGGTCGTGGCCTGCTTGGGTCCCCTGGTGCCAAGGCAGCGATCTGGGAGCCCAGCAAGAAGGTGTCCAGAGTGGGTGCACCTGCCAGCGGTGACCTCGGCTGTCTTGGAGCGGAGCTCTGACGCGGGAATCCCTCTGACACAGCCGCTGGCCACCAGGGCGGGGACAGCGGGTCCCTGGGGTGGCGGCCACGGGGTCGGGGTGGAGGACGCCTGTCTCCTCTTACAGCTGAGGCTCTGGTGAGCTCAGCAGCTGGTCGAGCAGAGCCTGGAATTCTTCCTGGTCCAGGGGTGGTTCTGGTTCCGCCGACAGGTCCTCCTCCTGTGCGTCCAGATCCACGAAGGGTCGTGCCAGAGCCTGAAACTCCGGCGCCGACAGGAGCTCATCTAGCAGGCAGGAGCCCGGCGCGGGTTCCCCCGGGGGTTCCTGGAGGCCAGGACCGGGCTCCCCGCTGGCTGGACTCTGCTCGTGCCGAGGTGGAGACTGGCGGGGTGTGGCCTGCGGAGGGGCTGCTGGCGCTTCTCCAGGCGGACACGGGGCCTGGACGGCCTGGGGCCCCTGGGCCGGGCCCCACCACTGCGCAGGGTGGCTCGCCAGTTGCTGAGCTGGTCCCGGGCCCGGCAGCTCAGGCCGCCACAGGGAGTGCGCACCTGCCAAGCCAGCGTGGCCCTGGCTGTGTCCTTGGTAGGGAGGCCACAGAGGGCTCTGTGCGTGAGAGAGCGCTCCCGCCGGAGCAGGCGCTACCGCCGCCGCCCTGGTGGGCGTCTCCAGCGCCAGGGGAGGCTGAGCGCTTGGGTCCTCTGTGGGCCCGGCCCGGGCGGCCACGGGCGCCGGGGCCCTCGGTTCCTGGCGCCCTGGATGTCGGGCCCTTCGGTTCTGAAACCAGATGTGAATTCTGGACTCTGGGAGGCCTGTCTGTCTGGACAGTGCCTCCCTGGTGGCGATTCCGGGAAAACGGTTGCTCTCGAAGGCTCCAACGAGGACAGCGGTCTGCCAGGCCGTGATGGCCGTGCGTCTTCGCCGCTCTTCTCTGGGTAGGCCCTCCTGGGGCCAAGGCTCAGCTTCCAGTCGCTTCTGCTTCAGGAGCCGCCTTCTCTGGTTTTGGAACCAAACGTGGATCCGAGGCTCCGCCAGGCCCGTTTGCTCCGCCAGCTTCTGTCGGGTGCTGATACCCGGGTAGGGATTGGTGGCGAAGGATGCCTGCAGAGCGTCCTTTTGACTCGGGCTGAAAACCGCCTTCCTCCTGCGGGGTTCGGCTGGGAGAGACCTTCCCGACGAGCTGGGGGAATCCATGGTGGGCAGACTGCACTGCAGGACGCCTCAGGAGACTGAGGGCTGCGGCCCGCTCCTTCCGCGTCCGTCCAGCCAGCGGGACCTGTGCACAAGCGGCCAGCAGGCGCCAGGCTCTGCTGAAATACCTTCCCAGGACTCCGCCCCTCATGAAATATTCATGAGCACTGGGCGGGTCTGTGGGGTGGAGCGCTGCCCCGGGAGGCCTCCCACCGGGACCCGGGGTGGGGCTCGGAACAAGGGAGGTCTTGTTAGGGTTAAGGAGCAAACCCGGGGTGGGGCTCAGAACGAGGGAGGTCTCTAGGATGGTGGCCTCCGCGCCAGGGCGGTGAGCAATCCCCACCTAGAACCAAGGTCAAAAACCGTCCTTCACTAGAGGCCTTGGCATCCAGAGGCGCAAAGGAATTTCGGGAAAACGACCTCATGCCTGCCCCGGGGCGGTTATCCTGTACTAGTGGCCCTTGGCCAATCATAGCCTCGCGTTTCCAGGTACCCGCGACTGTAACTAGCCGCGAGGGGTCGCGGGCCCCCAGGCCCAGTCCCGGGACCGCCTGACGCACGCAGGACGAGGGGCGGCCCACCCGGCCCCGCCTCGGACTCCCCATTCACGGGGTGCTCTGCCCCGACTGCTTGCCCGTGGCGCCACTTTCCCTTCGGAGAAGCCCCCTTGGCCTCCTGACAAGAGGCCCCGTCCGTGCCCGGGACTCCAGCAGAGGGCCAGGGTGGCTAGATCCCAGGAAAAGGCCCCCACCCCCGGCGGTCCCCGGCAGCCTCAGAAGACTCCCGCCCCGCCTGCCCCCGTCAGCCCTCCTGAGACCCGCTTCCCCGGGTGCCCCGGGCGCTGCTTTCTCTGTGATTCTTTTTTTTTTTAATTAAATGATAGCTGTATACATTAGTGCAAACGTGGGGTACAGTGTAGTGTTTTCATATACATGTTTTTCCTTTTTTTATTAAATGATAGCTGTACACATTAATGAAACATGAGGTACAGTGTAGTGTTTTCATATACATTTTCTTCCTTTTTTTCTTATTAAATGATAGCTCTATACATTAATGCAAACATGGGGTACAGTGTAGTGTTTTCATATCCATTTTGAAATACTTTCATCAAGCTGGTTCATATAAATTTCATGTCATTTGCGTAGTCATTGTGTCAAAACATTTATATTCTAGTTCTAGAAAAGTTCACATGTACCCCTTGTTAGACAGATATATAGGTGATCTTTCCGGTCACCCTCCCACCACCCAGCCGCCCTTCTCCCCTCCCCTTCCCCACCCCCTCCCCATATTCTTGGGCTAGAATTAAGTTGTATCTTTCATCGGAGAGCTATAAATTAGTTTCATAAAAGGGCTGTGTACATTGGATACTTTTTCTTCCATTCCTGTGATACTTTGCTAAGAAGAACATTTTCCAGTTCCATCCACGTAAACATGAAGGAGGTAAAGCCTTCGTTTTGCTTTAGGGCTGCATAGTATTCCATGGTGTACACATACCACTGTTTATTGATGCATTCGTGGATTGATGGGCACTTGGGCTTCTTCCATGACCTGGCAATTATGAATTGGGCTGCAATAAACATTCTGATACAAACATCTTTACTGTAATGTGATTTTTTATCTTCTGGCTTTATACCTAATAGTGGAATTGTAGGAGCGAATGGCAGGTCTAGTTTTAGTTCTCCAAGTGTTCTCCAGACGTCTTTCCAGAAGGAACGTATTAAATTGCATTCCCGCCAGCAATGTAGAAGTGTTCCCTTTTCTCCACATCCACGCCAGCAACTCTGGTTTTGGGATTTTGTGATATGGGCTAATCTTACTGGAGTTAGGTGATATCTCAAAGTAGTTTTGATTTGCATTTCTCTAATGATTCAGGATGGTGAGCATTTTTTCATAGATCTATAGGCCGCACGCCTATCTTCTTGGGTGAAATTTCTTTTCAAGTCCTTTGCCCACCTTGCACTGGGATCGCTTGTTTTTGTTGTTGTTG